GTGTTTTTCGTAAATTATTTAATATTTTTGCTTTTTTTCCCATCTGACCACCCTGACATAATTCTTTTTTGTGTCTACACAAAGTTTTTTCAAGTGAAACAAAATTTTTCAGTAATTAGAAAATTTGAGAAGTTTGTTTGGATGATCAAAATTAATGTCGCATGTTCCACATTATCGGGTCTTATGGAGAAGATGTAAATTGTCATATGCTTCATATTAATAAAATAAAATGCTCATCTTATGTTTATCTTAAGTAATCTTGTTGTTGTCATTAATATTGCTCCAAAACAAGCAATAAATTGTTGTCTTTGAAGTCATCTCTCATTAATTAATTTCCTTTTAATATCGCAACTTTATAGTGATTTTTGTGCCGCTTTTATAAGTGAAAGGCAGTGATGTATTGAGGGGAAAGATGTCTGGGAGCACTCCCAGCAGGCAAAAAATCAGGAAATAGTTTAAGTTGACATTCTGCTAAACTTTCTTTTGAGGTCTCATAGCTCAGTGATAAGAGCATCTGATAATAATTGTAAAGACGTGGGTTCGATTCCCACTCATGACATTATTCAATTTATGACTGATATGAAGCTCAAATCCCTTCCTACAACCCTGCCTTTCAGCACAATTAAAGATTAAATTAAAGATATGTAAAAATGACGAATCACTACAAAATAAAACATCAAATGAAATTTCATTGATGTTGAAAAGGCGAGAATGAAAGACATGAGAAATATGTAAGTGCTTTATGAGGTCAGATCCAATTAATTGATCTTCTGAATGTCATAAAACAAAATTTAGATGGTAGAAATAAAAATATTTCCGTTCCTTATCAACTTAATTGCTTTATTATTATCACATACTTTTATTTGTAGGCATTTCAATTCCTCCTTCTGGTCGAAGTCTCTAACGTCATATTTCATATCCACGACAGAGAGAAATCGATAGATAAGAGGCAAAAAAAATAAAAGAATGTAATTAATAAAGTTTTTCCTTTTCATTCATTTGGTCGCAGTATTTACGAAGAGATAGGGCAATGAATGGGAAATGAATTTGTCATGAAAATAAAAAAAAAGTTGATTTCTATCATCCAAAGTCATAAACTGACCATAAAACTGTTCTTCGGAAGTTTTTTTCCTTTTCTCTTAATTACTTTCCTTCTCTTCTTCTTTATTTTATTTCCACCCGGTCCGTTTAAATGAAACAAAAATTGGCATTTGGAAGAAGCAATCTCCAACAGCAGGGAGGAGTGAGGATGGTCAAATTTAGTAACATACGATGAGAAGAATAAATCTGAGGGTGGAAAGACTAGTCTAATTTGATTCGGTTGATCTGATTACAGTCTTAACTGTGGCTGAGATTTAATGAAAATTAGATTTATGCAATAACAAACATGAAGGAAGAAGAACAGAAAACGATAGCACTTGAAAATTATGTTTTTTAAAGATAAAAACTTTGTGGATGAAGATTCAGAGTTGGGAAGCTGGGAGAGTACAGGAGTGACATCTTCGACTAGTTATTGGTCTATTTAATTCTAGTTAAGTTCAGAAATCATTGAAATTAGCTTTTATCAAGACATTGATTTCTTATGGATGCTAGCACACCTAAAAGAGACTCTCTTTGATGTCTGGAGTTTCTGACCATCAACAGACACCAAATGCCTGATTATAATTAAGTTCCAAAGCACCCTACTCCACTCATTGATAGACTTTATGTAAAACTGAATGTGTAGGGCTCTACTCTGCTCTAGAAACTAGCTTCTGTTCTTTAGGATACATCAAGAACACATAATATACCAAAGACCACCCAAATCTCGGAGACTAGACATCCACCCCTGAATGGAACACACATATACTCCACCATTAAATGTGGAACAGCGACGAATAAATTTACTACATGTATAATATTCCCAATATCCCCATGAGAGGGATAATCGCTTTTATGGTCGCCATTTGGATGATAAACAGACACACAGACGTAGAGACAATGCTATATAAGAACAAAAAAAAGTCGTTGAACAAACATGTTCATGCGAGTAAAATAGTTTTGACATTTTTATGGATCTTCTTCCACTCATAGAAAAGTAGTTTTCTTATTATTTCAATATAATAATATTTTCAAAGTACATAGAGCTGAAACGGAACATAAAGTCATTTCATTTCATTCATGATGTTTTAATGTGTTCCAGTTTTTACTCTTTTTTATTGTTTTTAAGTCTTTTGCATCCCTTTTTATTGTTTTCTTCATCTTCTTCCAACGTAGATTGTCTATCGTAAGGAATTAAAGGCAAGACGCGTCATAAAAAAATCATCCTCTGCTTCTCTTCTTTTCATGTCGTTGAGTTATTATTTTTTTAAAGCATCTTTAGGCCAATAAACTACTCACAAATTGAAGAGGTCTTCTTTTTCTTTAAAAGATATTTAATGAGATTTTAATTTAGTGTCGTGCACATAACATTTATCTAATGTAAGGAACGTTTATCTGTTCCATTTCATATAAATTTGAGTGTGATTTTTAAGAGTCGCATGCATATATAGCCAAAGCAAGAAGGCGCAGCAATAATCATAAAAATTTATTTTCATTTTGGGTCTAATCACTATTGAACCACACATTTGAACATTATTGGAATATCTTTTGAAGTATTTTTTATGTTTATTTCTGTCTCGTTTCTGTTTCCGTACATGGTAGGTCCATTAGTTTATTATATGGGAAAAGAAAGACATAACATAACAACACAGGTCGATGTCATCAATTTCGTATCTTTACAGACCAAAAATAATATAAAGCGAGAGAAAGAAATTAAAAAAAGAAGATTTTTGGTCTGTATTTGGTGCAGTTTATTCTGAAAGATATTTAGGTGTTGTTGATGGGATGGTGTTGTGTCTCTTGGTGCTTGATAGTTGATCTATTAAGTTGATTAGGTTTCTTTATAGGTTTAAATGTAGAATATGAATGAAAATTATATTTTGGGGATTCTGTTTAGCATTCAAAGTGTCTAGTTTTAAACATTGATGAAAAATATCACAGACTTGTCTATAATGAACAGCACAGTCTTAAAAAAAACCAAGTCTAGTCATCAAAACTGTTCTTAACCTAGCAAAACCCTGAAGATTATTTTCTGAAATTTTGAAAGACTCTACAACAAATTTCTATCTACAACCTGAAACAAGAATTCTCAAAGCGAACTTAAAACCAACGAGAAATGCGCTCAATCCATCTAAATCTCCAACAAAACCTTATTTTTTGAATACATTTTTTGGTGAGAAATAATTTTTCTTTTTTTTTGATGACAATTCATTGAAAAAAACTGTATCACTTTAGGTGTGGTAACTGCAGCACGGTGGCCTAACGTATGTTCAACACAATTCCTCTTCTTATTCACTACAATATAATTTTTTGTGTGTATATCTTCTTCATCTTCTACATGCTGCATTCGGTGGAATTTTCTTTGAAAGGAATTTATGCTCATAAATTTGGTGATTTCTTGAAAACGTTTAAAAATTGTATGAAAGTTTTATGTCTTTTAATTCAATTAGTTTGTTGAAGCATATTAAAGTGTCTATTTTCGAAATGTTTTCTGTTATAAATCATTGGATTTTCTTTGTTCTGAAATTAAATTTTTTTTATGTTACCATATTTAATATTATTACATGAAAAATTTTACTGTTGATGGGGACAATCTGAAAGAATCTTTATTCTTATGTAGAATAGATGCCTAGATTTATGTGGTGAAGTCATGAAAAATAAAATAAAAATAATAATAAAAGAAATGATTAAAAAAACTTTTTCCATATAAATTTTCTTAGCTATTTTCATTTTTTTTTCTTCATTTTTTATTAGGTATGCTTTTTGTCATTTGGGAGCATTTTCAATTTTCAAAAATTTCTTAAATTGTATATGACGACAAAGAATATTTTCTTACATTTTTTTCATTCATCTTTAAAAAGTAAAAAGTGGGTAATAGCATTATACAATAATTTTTTTTTTATCTATCTTGTGTCTCATTTTTTTTTATTTATTTTGGAATCATATTTTCAAGAACATTCCAGTGATTTTTATCATTTTTCAAGAATTGTTGGTAATAAATTATAGGATTACTATTGTACATACTTCTGTTAAATACCTAGACTATTTCTGTGTCTGTTTTCTTTATCTTTTGCAATACAAAGGGAATGAATAAAAAGGTTACAATGGGGGGTAAAATGCAATGAGTCGTCAGTGGTGAGATATTTCTTTCCTGTGAGTCATATGTCGATAGATTAGGTGTCTGATATTTTACTTTTTTTTTGGTTTGGTTGTTTTACTGACAAAAATAGATAAATTCTTCCTTTTTACAATTTTTTTTTTCGTCTTCCTCTTTTTGAGGGTCGTTCATTTATTAAGTTTGCGATTTTTTGATAAGTATTATGTTGGGTTATGTCACTATTGAGTGCTTTAGCTTGTGTTTTCGGAATTCTTAGCCAAACACTAGGTTTGGAGCATCTTGCAAATGATTTACTGCCTTTTTGGATAGGCTTAAATGCGCTTATGTAATGAATTTGACACTTTTCAGCCATTATGCTTTACTAAACCTCAACATAGTTTGAATTTTGATCATCTTGAACAATTTAAATCAAAAAAATCTCAAAAAACCCCAACTTAATACAATAAACGACCCCCAAGCCTTACTTAAACATACAACAAATTTTCTATACATTAATTAAATTTAAAATAAATAAAATATATATTTTTTTTTGTAAAAATGTAAATTATCTTCATCAGCAGAGACACTTCATTTATAACGATTTGATACTTACTAGTCTATCGGCATTGACTCTTTTGAACGCACCCACATAGTAGATTTTAATTTTTTGTCGGCATATTAAGAGTTAGTTTTTTTTTTATAGGAATGAATCTTTCTTAACTTCCATAATTTTTTTATACTATTTACTTTCAAAAATTTTTTTTTGATTTTTTTTTTCAATTTTTTTTCTTCTTTCTTTTTCTTAATAATTTATTTTCATTTTTTCATCATTTTCATTTTTGTTTATACCTAACCTGTCTTTAGTAATAGAGATAGAATTTTTGTCTTAATAAAATGTTAAGCCCACATCATTTCAGATTGTGGCAGTCTTCTCTTCTTATCAGTAGTTGTGACATTTGCTGAATTCTTCATATTATTTTCATCAACAATATTTAATTTATCACTTTTATTGTTATACATTTTTGATGTTTGTGATGTGTTGTGAAGTTGATGATGTATCGTATTGTTGTTATTGTTGTTACTATTTTTGGAATTACCACCGCAATAGTAGCTCGATGGCATTGTTTTACAATTAATGTTATTTAAATTATTAATGTTGCTATCGCCACGCGATGATGGTGGTTCCTTACTTTTATAGAATACATCGTCGGAATTTACGTTGTCATTTGTATAGCCATCGATACAATGTCGACTATTAGATGGCGATGACAATGATCGTGTACAAAATTCACTAGAACCATTCGACAATGAGGATGTTGATGATGTATATTTGTTGTTGCACTCAAAATTATTATTATCACTGCTACTGCCCAACATACAATTAGTTCGTTTCGAATCCATTGCAGTTGGATTACCGATATTAGCTGCTGTACATATTGGAACGGCATATTCGTGTACACGACGTGTTATATTGTTTATATGATGTTCATTTTGCATTGTATTGAATTTACAATTATTTATTTGTTCATAATTATCACAGATTTTTGGTTGACAACCGCCAGACATTGCCGGTCCATAATTGTCTAATCGAATTGATGCTGGACCACTAGTGGCCATTAATGTATTATTTCCACGACGTAGCGTCGATGAACGATTTACAGGCGTTATTGTATTGTAATCATGCGGTGCTCTTAACGGTGGATATTGAGAGACATTTGGTGGGACATTTGACATTTGATGAACACCTTCATAGATTGGTGCTGCTGCATAAACATTCGTTGTCGATCGATTTGTCAAACAGTGTTTATTTGTTTGCTTACCAATGCTACTGGTTGATGGCAATGCTAAGCGTAATTTTTGCCAAAACTTCTTATCATCCCATTCGAGGCATAAGTTTGTTTTCAAATACAGTCGAATGTCAGCGTCAAGGTCTTTTTGTGGAATATCACCGTATAATATAATAATCAACTTACGTCTCCTCTTAAGCACTTCATGAACTGCACCTTTGAACTCAAATCGACCCCATTCGTTGTAGAGGAAATTTTTCGATAGAACAAGTACGGCACGTTTGGAATTATCAATAGCCTCACAAATTGTATCAGCAATAAAATTGTTCACATTTAAATTGAAGTCACGATAATGAAGACATAGACGATAGCCGATATCATTCTCGAGAACATTTGTTAGGCCTTGAGTGACAAAGTTGTCATCTTGTATGGAATAGATGAGATATGCATCATACAATCGATCCTTATCGTTATAGTCATTAAAGAATTCTGTCGATTTGTAGCCACAACAAATGAACAATTGAGTGCAATGTGTCTGTATGAATGTCTTTAACTCATGACGATAGCAAAAGATGCCCATAACAAGACCGAAGAATCCAACAAATGCACATGTAGCAACGAGTAAGAATGGCAATAAATCTTCAATTTGCTTCGAGTAAACAATTGATGAGATGCCATCTTTTAATGTACAAATTGTGCCATTTTTCTCTTTAAGGACATTCGTGTAGTTGTTGTATACACATGCCATCCGATTCAGATCGATAATTTTCTCAGTATTCGATTGTAAATAGATTTGCAATTTGTTAAGATAATGGCAATCACAGGACCAGAGATTATCGGCTAAAGCAATTTCAACTAAATATGGATTATATGTCAATTGCCATATTTCAAAGTTAATCAGCTTGTTGTCATCAAGTCGAATCACTTGCAATTTCTTCAATTCTTGAAATGTTCGCGTATCAATATAGCTCAATTTATTATGTTGTAAATATAATTCTCGGAGATTTTCCAATGAATTAAACTCATGTCCATTGAGGCGTTGTAATTTATTATTGCCTAAATGCAAGATCAACAGTTTTTGAAGATGTCCGAATGTTCCGTTTAAAATTGTATGGATATTGGAATTGTTGCCGTAGAAAATTATCAAATTTTTCTTGCCAATAAAGCTATTCTCATTCAGCTCCATTAAGTTCGTACCGTCGAGATATAATTCGGTAATGTCATTTGGCATTTTCTTCGGTATGTCACGATAAACAGTTCCACTACACTCCACGATATTCGTCTTCCATGCTAGATCGTGAAAGCATGTACAATTTGTTGGACATTTCATCTCGCAATCGCATGAATTATGACCACAGCAATCACAAATGCTGAAACAGTGATGAGTATATCCACACAAGAAGTGATGAGGTTGTGCTTCCAACAGCGGTATAAATGATTTATCACGATTGTAAAGAAGCTTACAGTAAATCGTATCGATATCCATGACACGTGGATATGAACGTGAATATTGATCATTAATTGTTTTAAGCCATTCAATATTACAATCGCATATGAATGGATTACCTCCGATATAAAATTCTGGTAATACTTTTTCCAACGGATACGGCGTCAGACGCAATGCCTTTTGATCCAATCCAGTAATGCGATTTGCATACAGATCCACGCGCGTTAAATTTGGCTTATGCAGGAATGTGTGAGGTTCAATTTCGTGAATTAAATTATCATTCAAAAACAGCAATTCAATGGCATTTGGAATTGTTGATGCTGTCACTCGCTCCAATCGATTAAAACTCACATCCAATGTTTGCAATTTCAATTGATCATCTAACCCATGTATATTTGTTAATTCTGTTAGATTATTTTTATGAATATCGAGCCATTTGAGATCGTTGGGTATGTGTGCGAAATCAAATTGTGTTAAATTATTGTCGGAGACATTAAGCCATACAAGATTTGGCATGTTGCTGAAAAGGCCATCGATTTGCGTGAGAAAATTTCCATCTAAACGAATCGCTTCGATGCTTGGCGATGCCTCAAATGTACCACGTTCAATATTTGTTATTTGATTTTTTGCCAAATTTAGAATTTGCAATTCAGGCAATTCGCGGAATGTTGATCGTGAAATGTTTTCAATTTGATTTCCAATCAAGCGTAAACCATAGACTTTATTAAGTCCACGAAATCCGGGCTCATCGAGTGTCGAAATTAAATTCTCGCCAAGATCTAATGTTCTCAACAGTCTCATGTCTTTGAGGGCTAATGGAATTTTTGTTAATTCATTTCCATTTAAATTCAACACATCCAATGAACTACAATTTCTAAATGCCTCAGGATGAACACCTGTTAAGACATTATTATCGAGTGAGAGCAATGCCAAAACACTCAATCCATTTAATGAATAAGCATCGAGATATTTGATCTTATTATGTGACACTAGTAATTTATGTAAGTTACTCATCGATGAAAATGTATTTGCATCAATATTCTCCAATAAATTATTTCTCAAATTTAATATCTGCACTGTATATAAATCGGAGAACATTTCAGACTCTAATTTTGTGATTTTATTTGTTGATAAGTCTAACAGCACCAAACGAATTAAGCCTTTGAATGTGCCACGATTAATCCATGTCGATGTCAATTGATTAACTGACAAGTCTAGTGTTTGCAATTGAACTAAGTTTGCAAATAAGCCTGGCGATAAAACACTAATTGAATTATTTTTCAAATGTATCTCCTGAATTGTCTGTGATGGATCTTTGAATAGCTTTGATGGTAGTGCAACAATTTTATTTGAACTTAAAGTAATAATTTGTAAGTTTCTAAGTCCACCGAGTGCCTTGTCAGCGAGCATTGAAATTTCATTGTTGTTGATTTTTAAAATTCGTAGACGTTTTAATGTTCCAAAGCCATTCTCAGGCAGTAGCACAAAATGATTGAATGATATATCCAAATATTCTAAATCAATCGTACATCCAATTGATGACTTTTTGCTATCGCCAGACGATAACGTTGATGTGAGTAATGAGCTTAATGTTGGCGGTGGAATTGGCCTTTTATCATCAACATTAATTTCACGTTCATTACTCGCACGCTCTCGAAATCCTAATTCATTTATGTCTTGCAATCTATTTTCACTAATATTGAGATGCTTTAGATTCGAGAGCGAACAGAATATTCCGTCCGGTAATGACCAGATATTATTTGTACTCAAATCTAATCTCACTAAATTCTTCACATACTGAAACGTATTTCCATCAATTTCTAAGTTTAATGATGGCCAATAAATGTTGTGTGTACGAATTGATAAATTCCGTAGACCACCGAGACCCCATAAGAAGTCCGATTGAAGTTTGGCAAATTTACAATATTCGAGTCCGAGCTCATTAATTTGCACTAAATGACTAAAGCTCTTTGCCTTAAGACGACTCTTTGTCTTCAATTCATTATTACATAAAATTGTTAGTGATGTCGTATGCTCAATTGGTATCACTGAGAAATTTGTTGTATCATATTCACTATTTACTGTACGTAGATTACACACTAATGATATATCTTGATTTTTAATTAAAGAAAATTTACAATCATCCGGTGCCTCATAACTGAATGCCTGTGATGGTTCAATTACATTTTGAAGAGCCTGATGTTGTTGGCAGTTGACCAGCACCGTTGCAAATGTGCTAATCAATAAAGACACTATCAGAATTTTATCACGAATTCGTTGCATTTTTTACTCATTTGAATACTTTTTCGCTATTCTTTTTATTTGCTGCTTTCGGTTCCGAAACTCAATCTTTTTTTATTTTATCTCCGTTCCTTATAACTCAATTAAGTTTCATCATGTCTAATTCATTTTTTTTGCTGCTCTAGCGTTTTGTCAATTTAAATTTTTTTTACGTCCAACTTTCTTTGCAAGTTATGTTCCGGACGTTCCTATTTAGTTCGTTGTCAATTTGAATTCTCGTATTTTTTTGTATGTTTGTGTCAGAAACAATGAGACTTTCCGAGAATTTTTTTCTTCAGTTGCTTGAAAATCAATATCCTTGTTCACCAGAAAAAAATACGATCCTTTAAAGAGCAACAGAAGCAGCACACATATGTGGATGGTAAAAAAAAACTCATAAAATGTTCCACATGTGGATGAAATGGTTTGTAGTTGAAAAATGGAATTTTGTGTAACGAGGCAGTCAGCAGTCGAGTTGAGCCTTGGACCGTGCTATATGAGTTATTTGGTTTTATGTGCCTGTGTGTATCTATTTTTATCTCTTCTCTTTATTGTGTTTGTGTGTGCGAAAAATGGAGAAATATTTACGAAAAATTATTTTTTATGTCATATAATTTATCATTCGTCGTTATGTGACTTTCTATTTTTCCGATATTAGATATACGGCATGCCAGTTCACTAGTTACAGGAAAAAAGCACCCTCCGAGATAAAAAAAATTATTTTCTCCTCTATAATTTATATTCTTTGCGGTTTTTGTTTTTCAGGACGCAGAAATATTATTATTATTATTTTTTGGAAGTTATGGTTGTGTACGAGATAGAATGAAGGAATTAAAATTTATATATTTTTTTTATACAATCATGGCTCGGTTCGTTCCTTTTATGTCGGATTAAATTTTATTTATCCTTTTTTTCACTCAAAAAAACTTTTTATTTTTGCGCTCATTTATGAATAATTTTTCACTCTTTTTGATGTTGCAAAAATATTATTTTTATAATTTTTCATTCACTTTGATCACACTTAATCTTGTTTTTTTCGCATTAAAAACAATAATTTTTCTCTCTCTTTGATAATTTTTTTATATTTTGCGTGTTAATCACTTTTAATCCAATATTATACACTTTATATGTTCATGTAGAATACTTTTTTAATTTAATTTCAATCAGTGTCCATTGATAAAGTTCACAATTTTTTTTTTATATCCAATATTTTTTCGTCTCTCTTTAAATTTTTTTCACTAGTCCTTAATCAATTTTTCATACAATTTTTTTTCAGTTCCTTCAAAAAATTTTATTTTTTCATAGACCGGCTAAACTAAATGTGTGTTGCGCGTTTAAACGTTTCTGAACATCTGAAAAAGAAATGATTGTGAAGTGAAACTATATACCGCTCCCAGAGAACTCTCTTCATGTGTTTCATACGACTCCTTCCAATATTGGAACTGTCTGTTTCCCGTACGCAACCGCTTTTAATGTTTATGATGTTATGACTTCTATCATTGCATTGCTTTATTGTTTACTTTTTGTATTTTCAATGTTTTCGTCAGCATTCTCGCAATGTTTTTGTAAACATTCCAATTGGAAGTTGAGAGAAATTTTGAGAGAAGAAATCTCAAAATCTATTAAGGATTTATTTGTAACATGAATCATTTATGCCACTTTTTCACTTCTTCAACGGATGATTATGCTACGAGAGAGTTGTGTTTCAGTTTCAGTTCCGTTTCATACTGAATTTCAAGTTTGTTGATTATCATTTGTTATGGATGGTACTGACTGGTTTTGATAAACATAAATTTATGATTCTGAATGATTGTTTTATGAGCTTTTCTTCGGAAAATGCTTTTTGATAGTTTTTGGGTGAATAATACCTTGGCATTTATTGACTATATTGAGTAATATAGTCTATATTGCAAAAAGCTGATGGCAGATACAGACATGATTTTGTTTGATCTAATTAATTCTGAATAAATGACATGTGAATATGTATCAGATGGGAAATTGAATATTATTTTAAAACTTTTAATTCGAAATAATATAAAGGATTAGGGTTGAACAAGTTACTAAGAATTTATAATTATTTGAAACCTCAGAAAATTACAAACTTTATTGCGTTATATTTTCATAATGTTGAAGGTTGTAATTATAAAATTATTTTAGGATAGAAAAACTTAAATTTCTGAGTATTTGAAAAAGGTTATGAACATACTTAGACTTTATTAAAATTTACATAGATTTTAGTTCAAATCTACAGGATGAAGTGTGATTTTTAAAAATAATATTAATTTTAATAAATCATTTGTGAACGAAATTAAATTTATTTAAAAAATGTGTGGAACTGAGCTAAATGAGCTGTAGCTAGAGCACGACTCAAAATGCTTAAGGGGGTCCAGACCCTCGTGGCTACTCTCCTGATATTAAAGTTTTAAATAATCTAATATTCTGAATATATTCATCTGAAATTGGCAAACACTACCCAACGATAGAGCCAGCTTAAGGTGCCATCTAAGGAAGGCCATGGATCACAATTAATCTGTACAAAAAACGAAGTAAAACCATCTAAAACATTAAAATTAAAATTCAATACCTTCTAATTAAACATATTCAATATTTACTCTATCAACATAAGGAAAAGATGAAGTTTCTAATCATTTTTATCACGATTATTCTATAATTCTCGTTTTGAATATCAATTATGAAAATTATGAAAAGAAGAAAAACTTCCTCTTAGTCTGCAGCATAAAATTTTCACCGCATCAATTTCGAAGTTTTAAAATTCAATACGAAAAAATTAGATTTCAAGAGAATTAGATTCAAAGTGTGTCTTGATCGCAGGGTTGGAATATGGTTTTGAGGTCATAATTTTGAAGATAAACTTCAGAAGGGTTTTTGACAAGATTCGAACATAAGAATTCAAATTCGTTCAAACTCACGACCAACTTAGGGAGTGCACATCTAATCAACTAAGTTATCAAACCTCCATATCTTCTTTGATTACAACGAATACCAACAGCCACAAAACTACAATAATTCCCATCCACAAAGAACTCAACAATCCATGCTCAACAAATGTAAATATTTTCAAAACAAATATTCAAGTGCCCCCTTCAAAAATATGTTAATCACCAACCCTGATCCATAACGAGTATAAATTTTAAATATTTTAATATTCATTAAAATCCGAAGGATATAGGGATGCCTGACTGAACGGAATGATTTCTTTCTAATTCTGAACATGAAACTAATTTAAAAAACAACAAAGAGAGATGTGAGGAATAAAAAAAAACCTTTTTTGTGGCTAAATCCTTTACTTTCCTAGTGTTTATATATTCTCAAATAATCATTAATATTTATAACAAATTTTCAAATTTTTTGAACCCCTTTCTCATATAATTTTTGTGATTTAATTATGATATACGCACGTATGCATATTTATGCATGAATATTGAGTGGAGGATATTGAGGTAGTGTAATAAAATATAAATATAAAATATATGAGTGAAATAAAAAAATTTGCATTTTTTGCACACAACTCGCGTAATTCAATGTAATTGAACCATTTCATTTATTTCCCTTTCGTTCGTACCTTAATAATATGAATTAAATTTCTGAGAGACGAACAAAAAAAATATCCTGATTTTTTTAATTAAAAAACATTAATTTCGTTAGAGTAACATTGTAAGCAAGCAATGGAAGTACCAGCGGGGAGGACAACATTCATTATTTCTCTTTCTCTCACTCGCTTTAAATCTGAAAAATTAAAGATAATAACTTTTATTATGAGTTGTTTTAAAAAATATATGTGTAATGGGGGCAATCAGGATGTTACGTAACTAAAGCTGTAAGTTCATGAGTGGGAAGAATTATGAATCAATATTTAGAAAAGAAAATAGTTTAAGTTGGCATTCTACCAAGCTTTTTACCAACCCACGATAGCTCAGTGAACTGCAAGTACCAATGATGCAGGTTCGATTCCCGTTTGAATATGTCTATAACATAGGATTCAGGAAGTTGACACAAGATAGTAATTCTCGTCAATTTTCAATCTACTCACAATAAGGCCAAATACCTTCGCTACAAGCTCAATTATATCTTGAACGACTTTATAGATCATTTCCCAGTATAATAATAGCCCAATTGAGTTCCGTAACATTCAATCATCCCCATGTATGTTTTTAAAAAAACAAAAACTCAACAAGACAAAAAGGCATGGCACGTAAGTATTAAAAAAATAAATAATAAAATTAAAAGTACAAACTTAGATGAAATAGGGGATGATGATTCAGTCTTCAACTAGGAACTGTTAGAACAGACGCAGAGCAATAAAAAGACGCAATTCATCATACCTTTCGTTTTTCATTTCATTTGTGTGCATATTTTATAATAAATAAGTAGTTATAAAAGTTCATGTCTAAAAAAATAGACTCGTAAAGAAGGGGTGATTTCCAGTGATTACTTTTTTCATTATGAATATGATTAAAGCACTTTAAATGTGAAAAATAATACAAATAAAGAGAGTTTATTATATTCATAATTAGCTAACATAAACGTATGTGCATACGGAACGTATTTCATCATTGCCATCAACTACAACAATAGGGGTTAAAATGTTTTTTTTTTCCATATTAATGGTACCTCACTTACTCATATTATTATTTGAGGGTGGCAATATTTTGTTTTGTCTGCATATTTTCCTGTAAAATTGTAAATGATACTTCATAATACGGTTTTGTTTTGGTGTCAGAGAGAAAAAGACCTGAAAATTGTCGGATAGTGGTAAAAGTCATATACTTTTTTATTGTATGTTATTAATTATGTTGGCTTGTTTGTTTTACGACTGGTAGAAGTTACTGACTCATAGCTCAAAGGAAGACCGAAAAAATAGTATGATAATCATTAAAAAAAATTTATATGGATGTGTACGCAAAGCGTGGACGATTGATGGATGTCGTTTTTGGGTTTTTAATGTAAATTTTTATGATTTTATTTGTTTTAAGAAGGCATGTGTCATATTCTGAAAATATAAACTCCCTTATTTATAAGCATAATTTTCTGCAGTTCTAATTTTGAATTTTTTGAATTTTAAAATTTTTTTGACTTTTTGATTTTTTTGACTTTTTTGAATTTTTCAAAAATTTTAAACTTTTTTGAACTTTTTGATTTTTTTTTGACTTTTTTGAACTTTTGAATTTTTTTGAATTTTTGAGATTTTTCTGAAATTTTGATTTTTTTTGAATTTTTAAATTTTTTTGAATTTTGAACCTCAAAAGAATCATATCATCTCTTTACTAGTGTCCACACCTTAATTTTGTCAACCTCAAAATAATGTAATCCGGAAAAAGCAAACAAAATACTTGAAATTCTTTATTTTTGCTCTTACAACGTCATCATAATAAGAATAATCATAATAGGAAACGAAAAATGTAAACTGATGCAAATGAGAAAATACCAGAGAGTCATTTGTAAATGAACTCCTTGATACTTATCACATTAATTATATTTTTTTTTCTCCTCTTTTGCCTTACTTCTGCTTGTGTAAATTGCTTGTTTGTTTTTGGCTTTCGGGGACGGCTGCTGCTACTTAAATGCCTGACTTGCTTCTATGTTGTTTATATATATTTTTATATGCTGGGTCTTGTGTGTGTGATGTGAATGACGAGATAACAAATGTTGTGGAATTAATTAACTTAAACTATTTATTTTATCTCAACAATATTAGTTTATGGACCATACCGTCGTTGCATGATGTATGGAATATAAAGAGAATGATGAGGAACTTTTACGAGAACTTTCAAGGGATTATCCATTAGTAAATTTAGTCGTCAGAGGAGAAAA